CTAGACTAGACTAGACTAGACTAGAATAGAATAGAATAGAATAGAATAGAATAGAATAGAATAGAATTATTTATTGGCTGTGTGATTGGGCACACAAGGAATTTGTCTTTGGTGCAGATGCTCTCATTGTACATAAAGAAAAAATAAAATAGAATACATTCATCAAGAATCATAAGATACAACACTTAGTGATAGTCGTAAGTTACTAATAAGCAATCAAGTTATACTAGGAAATAAATAAAACAATATAAAATTTAAAGATACAAGCAACATGGTTATAGCAATAAGTGGGAAGAGGTAGGTACTAGGAAGAAAGGGGAAGAATAATAGTAATACAGTTTTAGTAGATAATATGACAGTGTTGAGAGACTTCTTAAAAACTTCCAATGTTGGAGCATTCACAACCTATGGAGGCAAACTCCGTCTGTATATAAACAACAATAATAACGACAGCTTCCTGATTATAATCATCAAATCTATGCGGTAGATGGTAGCTACATAACAACAACACTTACTGTGCTTCCTTAATAAGGGGAAGACACACAAATTTAGCTTGTGGTTGAGAACAGCTGTCTTATCTTTCCCAAATCCTTGTTTTGTGAGTAAGAAACATGTTTGGGCCATGGAGAAATTAGAGAGGAAGCACCTTGGGAGGTTCCTCTCTGCTTCCTACCCTCACCCACTTTCTTTCCCTCGTTGGCTTTTCAGCAAGACCCAAGCTTACCATGAAGGTAGATACCAACGTGAACAGCACAATCCTGAGGCTGGCTGACAATGTGCAGTCGTGGAAGGTGGGAGACAAGATCGTGGTGGCCAGCACTGATTACTCCATGCACCAAGCTGAAGAGTTTGAGATCTTGCCCTGCAGAGCCTGCAAGCCCAACGAAGTCAAAGTGGCAGGTGAGGCTGAATGGCTTGTGATTTGAAGGAGAGCTGTTGTCCTGTGTTTGTGTGGGTATCTTTGGGGCTGAGAGTGTTACTAAATATTAAGTTACATAACCAATCTCTTGTCCTCAACGTACAATAGCAATAACACTTAGAGTTATATACCACCCCATGGTGCTTTATGGCAGGGGTCCCCACCCCCCAGTCTGCAAACCAGCACTGGTCCACAGCATGCCAGAAACCAGTCCATACAAACAAGTGAAGCCCCATCTGTGGGATGCAGGCAGCACACAAAACAATGTCCCCTCTGATCCACAGAAAAACCTTTCTTCACGGAACCCGTCCGTGGTGGCCAAAAGGCTGGGGGCCACTGCTTTACGGAGAATCCGCCTATTGCCCCCAACAATCTGGGTCCTCATTTTACCGACCTCGGAAGGATGGAAGGCTGAGTCAACCTTAATCTGGTCAGGATTGAACTCCTGCCTGTGGAGGGAGTCAGCCTGCAATACAGGCAGTCACACTGATTCAAAGGAACATGCCACACACACAGAAACACACACAGAAACACAGACGTCTCAGACAATCCTGCAAAAGGTAATCCTTCCTACCTTCCAGAATAGATGTAAAGTTATTCGGATAATTTGAGCAAGGCACTACAATTGGACTCTTCCGTTGTGCTCATGATCTTGGCTTGCCTTCAGAAGTTGTGGCTACTCTCTGATTGTAGGTTTTTAAGAAGAGTTTGGACAACCATCTGTCTGAAGTTGCATAGTACCTCCTGCTTGAGCAGGGGGTTAGATTAGAAGACTAATCTTCCAACTCTAATATTTTGTTACCATTGTTCTTTCTTTCCTTCGGCCTGTAAGCGAGCCCGTTCAATTGCAGCTTATTCCAAAACCATATTTTAGCCACCTAGAGCTTTGAGTCATCAGTCAAGCCAGTGGATTAATGCAGAATGAGACTGTTGATGGGTCTGTGACTTTGCAATGAAATTGGGCCGCACGAGAAAAGGAGAAAGGGAGATCGGATCCTCCCCTACCTCTGTCGTGGTACTGCTCATCCTTAAATCATGAATCCCGTTAACTCTGATGCAAGTGGTTCAGTAGGAAATACAGCTTTTTTGGCTTGTGGTTTCCAGGGCTGAAAGAAAGTGGGAGACTTATGCCAAGGAAAATATTTTTTTCTGGTTTTTGAAATGCATCATAGCCTCATGACTAAAGATGGCAGGCATTTTCTCTGTAGGGAAAGTGTCTCTATAGTTCTATTTTCTTTGTCCTCCTCCTTTCTCCAGCAACATTTACATGAGAAAAAAATCACGTTAAATGTGACCCCCCTCAAAGATAATCCAGAGATAATAGAAAGAAAGTGGAATGTTGAATATCTGTCCTAAGCTCCTGATGTATCTGAAAATGAGGGTGGTGGGAGAGAGCTGAAGAGGAAGGAGAGAAAAAAGATGTTGAGACTCTAGAAAAAGTGCAGAGAAGAGCAACCAGGATGAGTAGGGGACTGGAGGCTAAAACATACGATGAATGGTTGCAGGAACTGGACATGGCTAGTCTAGTGAAGAGAAGGACCAGGGGAGACATGATAGCATCCTTCCAATACTTGAAGGACTGTCACAGAGAGGAGGGGGTCAACCTGTTTTCCAAAGCCCCTGAAGGCCAGACAAGGAATAATGGAAGGAAGCTGAACAAGGAGAGATTCAACCTGGAAATAAGGAGAAACTTCCTGACAGTGAGAACAATCAACCCATGGAACAGAAGTTGCCTTCAGAAGTTGTGGGAGCTTCATCACTTGAGACTTTTGTGAAGATATTGGACTGCCATTTGTCAGAAATGGTGTAGGGTCTCCTGCTTGGGCAGGAGGAGGGGTTGGACTAGATGACCT